AGTATGTTCCCAGCAATGTGCTAGGTGTTGAGAATACGACAATGAGCCAAAACAGACATGGTCCCTGCCCTCACAGACTGAACAGGTTAGTGGGGACATAAATTACACATGTGATAAGGGCAGTGAAGGGAAGGTTCAGGAGGCTATGCAAACATATGAGAAGGAACTGACTACTTGGTCAAGTGGGTTAAATTATGACTATAATTCCTCCTGAAATCAGAATGCTCTTTTAAAGCAAAAATCATTTGGCTAATGGCGCATACTAGAACTTCTTAAATGAAACACTTTTATTTTGAACTGTGAGAGTGTGTGTCAAAGAATATTTGTGCAAGTCACCAGCATTTAAACATTGTTGCAAAGGTCGACCCTGTGAAATAGGCAAATAACATCTATTATTATGAAAATAGTTTTGACCTCAGATTCCCTAAAAAGGTCTTAGGACCTCTGGGGGTTCACTGATTGCACTTTGAGAACCTCTTTTCTAGAGTGCTGTATGCATATTATGTTTGTAATGCAAACTTAACATTAGGGCTTTTATAAGTTTTTATATTTAAAATCCTAAAAAACCTTAGAAAGTTAAAGCTGTTATTCTGATCATTTATTCCAAAAATTGGGGTGCTATATGCCAGCACATTTCTCGGTACTGGAGATATACCCATGAACAAAATAGATGAAAATTGCTGCCCTCATGGAGCTTACATGTGTCTTCTGATTTTCATTTATATCTTGGAACATGATTTCTCACTAATGTATAGAGTATACACTTTGTTTTTGGTCTGATTGTGTATGTCTTTATCTCCTGTCCTCTGTTTTCTTACTTGGCTCTCATACAGACTTTTAATGTTTTTGTTTGTTTGTTTCATTAGCTTTCTGTTTCCTGTTCTTAATGTAATGAACAAATGGAATGTTTTATAGCCTCTTAAATACAGCTGACTTTAAGTTGCTTTTTACATATGGACTCCTTGTTTGATCAGTGATCTCAGATGTTTCTTGTAGTTAAGCAAAAGAATGGAGTTATACCAACTAGGACAAGTCTTCGTATTATGTTGACTGTGGTTGACTTTTAGATGTCTAAGAAATAGGTGAGCAATCTCTCAACTCTTCTAAAAATTTCTAGAAAGGAGGGAGTGTGGAAAGCAGCAGCACCCCCTCTTATTCCTTGTCATTCTTGCCTTAGTCCCACCAGTACAGCAAATTTACTAGTATATACATAACCTGTGAATTATAAGATGGGGGTATTAGAAGTAACACTCTGGGAAAAGACCAGAAATTCTTGGACAAGGAGATAGATAGTGCTGCTAAAAGGTCAGGAGGGCACAGTCAAAAACAGTGAAAATGGATTGTTGTTTTCTTTATAAATCCCAGAGGGACTGAAACAGTTTAAAAGAAAACTGCTTACAAGCCTTTCATTTCACACACATACACACATTTAAAGTCAAAATATTGTTTATGAAACATTAAAGGTTAAAATATATTTAATATTTTCTTATCACGGCAGGGAATCATTTAGCATATTTTAGAATTGTTTCCATGTATTTCCATGCAAAATTTAATGAAATAGTTTGTTTTGAATGTGTTTCTCTCATTCATACTTGATAATTGAGGTATTAGAGTTTGTTAATCCTATCTCTAAGTAAGATCCAGTTGCCATTCAGTAGGATAATAATGTGCAGGTGAGTATTTACTTTTAGGGTGCTATTTATAATAGCAAATATGAAGTGAAATGTAGGATGCAGACTATATCTTATTATTGATTGTCTTATGAAAGTATTAGTTGTCATAATCAAGCTTAGATTTAAGTGGCTACTAGGTAAAAGTTAAATTCAGAGCTTCATTGGTATTGAAACATCTACTCCATTTGGTTGGAATTTTTAGCCCTTCCCCACAACTGAAAGTAAAAGAAAACTGTGTATTTGGTCTGATTTTATTATATCTCTGTACCTTTTTTTGTAGCAGTATGAAACAGCTGTATACAAATACATTTTCAACCCTAAACAGTTTAATGCTTCTAAGTATATTTCTTTTTGAAAGAAATGATTGTTGGTAATTCAGAAGCCACTGTATTCTAACCATTTTAAATAGAAAAACACACAAGTTGACATTTAAAAGACTGGGTTCCCTTGTGGTCATAGCAAAAGCACTGTGAATGACAGAGAAAGACGTGATTATGTACCAGCCACAATCCAGGAGAGTGTGCGTGCATCTGAGTGTCTACTCCACGCTGAGTATTACTGTATGTAGCCAACACTGAGGAGTGCACTGGCAACTGGTGCAGACTTCCTAAGCTGGAGTCCGCTGTCAGCATTTCTTCAGTGTCTCCAGACTACCTGCATCAGATTCACCTGAGATGCACATTAATCATGCAGATTCATTGGCTTCCCTCAAGCATACCTCATCCTGGGTGGCACTCAGTTGATTCTTATGCACAATAAAATTGTTGTCCACATTATTTCCTTATATCTATGGGTGTAACCTTGTTTTTGGCAGGAATGTCTAATAATGTTTCCCGTGATTATTTAAAACAACTAAGACAGGGTTCAGCTTCCTTAAACAGTTTTGCAAACTAGTTTTCTTTCAGGCAATAAAAAAGGGATTAGAATAATCTTTCAGTTTGATACTTAAGATAGGATTCTAAATTCATTTTTTAAATGTCAACATTTTTAAACTATTCTACATCATTTTATGGGTTGAGCCATACATGTTTAAAAATGAGTTTAACATCCTGTTTAAAAAGTATTCTTATTCTTACCTCTGATATCTCAGAACTTGATTGTTGAGCTGAGTTATGAATCTTTTTTATTAGGATTACTGCTGTTAAGTTTATTGTTGGTCATCTTGTTAAAACTTGAAATAACACCCAGAAGGCTCTTAATTCCAAAGTTCCTTGATGCTAGTTCAAATTAGTTGTTGAGTATTCTGTAAGTGACTGGTCATTGTTGAACCAGAACTTCTAGCTGTTGGTCTGTAGCATAGTGGCAGACTCCCAGGGTGTACAAAGACAATGATCTTCTCTCATCCCTGGGGTCACTGGAGCTGCTGGCTGGCTGGTTGCAGCTTTGTCATTTTACTTTGGGTGTGCTGTACAAATATTTTCTATATGTGCCATAATGGGAAAAATCTTGGGAAGTGTGGCTTAGCAAATATAAACCTCAGGTTCTTTTAAGACAGGTGCTCTCTAAAGGCCCCATGATAGAAATGTGCAGTAATATTTACTGAGAGTGCTTTAAGAATTGGCTCTGTGCTGTGTTTTCTTAGAAGGATTGTGGTCTGTGTTAGGATTTTGAAGCTTGATTGCTTGGCCATGCAAAGGAATATATTTTCGAGGGAAGGGCTACTCCCCTTCCCCTTTTTAAAATAGAGAGCTATTTGGAATTTATTTTTAATGTTTTTGTAGGTATTCATCAGTCTTAGGAATACTGAATCAAAGTAAAATTCTATGGGGCTTTGTGGTTTATGGGGAAAAGAATCACTGGATAAAAAATGATTTATATTATTTTCCTTTGCCTCTTCAGGGTATAATATATTCCTCAGGATTTAGAGGACAGACTTTTCTCTGCCTTCTCACTTGTCCCCCTCTTACCCCCAACCTCCAAAATGGATTTATAGCGACTGAAAGGTTGACTTGTTTTGTTTTCCAAATAAAATTTCAGGCCATAGAGAAATTCTCAAATGATAGGTCAAAACTGTAGAGGGCATGGTTGGTAAAAGATAGAGTGAGGACCAGGTGGAATATTTGTTTAATATTATATGTGAAATGAGGATGGACTAGAGATAGGACATGGCCTCTCATTTCATGAGGAGATGAACTTATCTGTGTTAATGGAATAGAGACAAGCTTAGATGGATGAATTTCTGTTTTAGCCATTGTCTTGTTTTATGAAACACAGATGAAGAAGTACAAAATTACCAGTTTCATTTCATGGTATTTCTGATGAGGTGTGAGGTTGGCAAATAATAGCAAGAGAAAGATATATTTCTCCTTTAAGAACTAGTTAACTTGAACTTTTTCTGGAGTACAGTCAACTTATTCAGGGCTAGAAATGGCTTTCCTTGAGTTTGTTGAAAAAAATAACTTTTGTGAACGACCTTCTTGATTGAGTGAAGCTTCAATATATTTTAAGGTCATTTTTATTATACCATAGCTCAGAATGTCTTCATTTAAAAGCTAAGAAAATGGAGACATGGGTTACAGTGGCTTAACCAAATTTTCAATTAATGAAGTGGAAGAAGAATGCAGATTCTAATATTTCTCAGTTTTAGAGGTTTTAGACTATACTCCTTAGTATTAATATTAATATTAGTTATTAATACTCTTTAATACTCCTTAGTATTAAGTCCTGGCAGTGTATGTGGCAGAGTGAGTGCTATGCCATGACCCAGTAAGCTCTGGAAGAACATTAAGAAATAACTTTTGTCTTCTCTGTGTCCCATGTAGCAGGTAGCAGAGTGCTGTGTTAACAAGTTGGTTGAGGGGCGGCCCCGTGGCTTAGCGGTTAAGTGCTCACGCTCTGCTACTGGCGGCCCGGGTTTGGATCCCGGGCGCGCACCGACGCACCACTTCTCTGGCCATGCTGAGGCCGCGTCCCACATACAGCAACTAGAAGGATGTGCAACTATGACCTGCAACTATCTACTGGGGCTTTGGGGAAAAAAAAAAGGGAGGAGGATTGGCAATAGATGTTAGCTCAGAGCTGGTCTTCCTCAGCAAAAAGAGGAGGATTAGCACGGATGTTAGCTCAGGGCTGATCTTCCTCACAAAAAAAAAAAAAAGTTGGTTGATAATTATTGAATGAATATTGACTTACAGTCAGATAATTATATTTATCGTATTTTAAAGGAGTTTTCAGAAGATATTTATGATTGATTTAAATATATATAAAATATGTTAGCATAATATATGCATTCATCAGTTGGGAATGGGGGATTATATGGAAGAGAGAGGAACAGCATTCAGTTTTATTTTATAGGAAACTAATATGGGCCCTTGGTGGGTTATTTTCAAATGAAATTGAGCCTTTAGCATTTTGAGCTCACATGACAAATGCCTTGGATACAGGATTGGGAATTTCACATAAGTAGCTTACAGCTATCTGACCTGTATGTTGGAGAATATGATTGTATACTTACTTTTTTTGACTGAGGTGCTATTTTTCTATTTCTATTGCTTTCTGCAGGTTTACTTTTGTTAACAGGGGTCTACTAGAAATATAGTAAGGTTTCTAAATATCAATAATTTTTATTTTTCACAACCTTCCAAGGCTTCCATCTTGGTGCCAGCATGTAGTTCTGGATGCCATCTACCAGCAAAAAATAGCAGTTGGGTTTGGATGAGCGATGACAATTGGCCTACACGTAGGTCTACTGACGCCCAAGATCAGGAAACCTATAACAACCCTAAAACTGACCTAGTCTGAAGCAGGCCATATTACTAACTAAAATTGCATGTGTCACTGACTATTGGAAGGGAATAGAAGGGGCTGTGGAGTGGAGTGGCAGGGCCGTGGCTTGTGGAGGAGGTGTGTATGTGGGAGGGTAATTTTTAACTTTTATCCATTTCAATCAGCAAAGATCTGATAAAAAAATCTTGTTACTACTATATATATTTCTTATCATATTCACAGTTGAAAAAGGTGTGTAAATAATTTTCTTGCCCATATACTCTATTTACATTTTTTAAAAGAAAAAAAGTATATTTTTTAAAAACTCACTTATATGATTCCTATGGATTTCCTATGCTTTTTTTTTTCTTTCCTTGAATTATTAAAATATGCTATATAAGACTAACTTGTTTTTCTTTTTCATTTCCATACAGGAAGGAGAAAAATATTGTTCATGTAATCAATGTTACCATTTTTAACTAGTGTTTTGAGTGAGGATTATTGTGAAAAGTTTTACTGTTTGCTAGATTCCTAATTTAAAATGCCTATAATCTTTTATAGGAATTTCAACTTTTGCAATTTGGTAATAACAGATCTAGGTAAGTAAAAAATGAGAATCTCATACAGTTTTGAAGATCTCCAATTGGTTGAGAATTTAATATTTTAGAACCAGTAAGCCTTTCGATTTAGTTAAAGCTCAAGACAATAATGTAACTGCCATACCTCTTGAGAACTGAGTGAATCTGTAAATCAAAATTTCTGATGTTTCTTTGGTAGTTGCTCCTGGAGTCAGAAGTTAGGAACAAATCTAATGGCTTTTATGAAATCCTCTTTGTCATTTCACAGAGGAATGACTTACAGGAGCAAGGGCTTTCCTGAAGTTTCTCTCTTCATCAAGATGCTTAGCACAATGTTGCAGTCAGTGGGAGATCATGGTATAGAGAAGGAAATTTAACTGAATTATGTATTTTTTTTGTGTGAGGAAGATCAGCCCTGAGCTAACGTCCGTGCCAATCCTCCTCTTTTTGCTGAGGAAGACTGGCCTTGGGCTAACATCTGTGCCTATCTTCCTCCACTTTATATGGGACGCCGCCACAGCATGGCCTGAAAAGTGGTGCATCGATTCATGCCCGGGATCCAAATCCGGGCCGCCAGCAGTGGAGCACATGCACTTAACCACTACGCCACAGGGCCGGCCCCTGAATTATGTATTAATTATTATAATCTTGTTTAAGATACTGTGAGCAACTCCCAGACTAATAATCTATCCATAAGCTTTCAGCAACAGCCTTATCACTTCCTTTGACATTTTTGTAGAACTTATAAAATTTATGATTGCCTAAATAATATTCTCAGAATTAGTGGGTAAAAATTCTATCATGAGCTCTCTTCATCCTCACATACAGTGCTAGGGTATTGTAGACATTGGGTAATAAAAGGCTTGTAATTTTTTTTTTTTTTTGACCCATTGACAGGAAGAAATGTATTTTACATCACATATATTTTATATTACATAGGTGTGTGTGTATGAAATAAAAATTTCACAATAAAGTGATGCACACTGTTTTATAATCTGCTGTGTTGTAGTCTGTCCTTTTTCATTAAAAAAATTAAAAAGACCGTGACCCAACAAATTGATTTCAAGACCCACACACACATCTCTAGCTTTTTCCTTTCAAGTAGTAGTACTCACAAAATGTACCTTGTGTTCTCATACGTTCAACTCTTTAAACATTTCAAGATGTATACAAAAACAGAGAACATAAAATCTCTAAATACGTTGTAGTTTTGTTACTTGCCTTTATTATTTGAATAAGATATTCTGTGCCCTGGTATTTGTTACCTCCCTATACTTTGGCCTAGTAGGTTTGAAAAGTTCCAAGGCATCATTGGGACAGCCAGTGAAGAAGGATCAAGATTGAAAAAATGCATCAGCAAACTGTATGTCAGCTTTGTTTTCTGTATGTTACTGACGGGCACTAGCTACAGAGTCGCTCTGCTAGGCTCCTCTGGTGTTTGATCTCCTTTGACCAGTCCCTGTGTAGCAATTCTGGGCTTGACTTTAAAATTCTAGCCTGCTTTCTGAGTATGAAGTATAGGCTGAGTTAGACCACATGGGAAGAAGTGTGTTCATAAATGCAGATAAGGAGTTAGTTGTATATTTGTATAAATTTTTCCTTTAGAATAGGTACACATAAACTGAACCTCGGTGCATTTTTTCCCTTCCAGTAATATTTGTTTTTAAGTTTTTATACTTTTGATATTTGTCTTTTCTAATTCTTAAGTTTATAGAGGTGCAAACCTAACATCATTATAAAACTTCATTGTTAACAAATGATAGTGGGGCAAGATCAGATCCTTTTTCTGTCTTCAGAACTGAAGGAAGCCAAAGTAAGTTTTAGGCTAAATTCCTTTTTGTGCATGATTAGAAATGCTGTAGGAATTTGTACATTAAAATATATTGAGTACCTATAGTGTATAAAATACTAAAGTTTAAGTCTGTTCCCTAGAAATATTCCTGTGTGAGTCATCAATCTTTTAATAGTCTTGGATTAAATGTTCAGCAAGCACAAAATGTCCAGTTAGGTAAAAAGTGAATGTAAAATAGTGCCTCAGTCTTAAAGCTAACTTGAATCATCAGAATTCCCCAAATTTACTGTATTTGTATTTAATGTTCACCAGTGGACCCACATACATATTCACCCACAGAGATTCTGGCCTTTAGGCCAGGTATTCTCCCACCTTTGATACAGATAGAATATGAAGGACCTCCATCCCTCTTTGAAAATAAGAGATGTTGGGAAACCCTGGCAAGCTTTATGACTCATCTGAAGAGCTTGCAGCTTTCAAACTCTATAATGATAAAAGATACCAGTGGTTTTTTTTTTTTTAAAGCATCATAGGTCTCTGAGAATCTGATAAACTCTGGATTGTCTCCCCAGACAAGTAGACATAGAATCCCTACTCTGAGACTCCCAAGAGAATATAAGAATCTGCTTAGTGCACATCTGTTGAATTAACCTTCAGATTCTCCTGGATTGGTGATGGAGTGTGAGAGTTGCTACAGGAACAGCAGAGATAGCACCAGTTTCTTTTAACCTGATATGATATTGTTATTACATGCTACCATTAATCACGGATCAGCATTTTCTTTCATTGCTATGGCAGTTTTCTCAGAACGTGGCTAAGCAGTTACCTGCTATAGGTGGTCCAGCAAGGACAGCCATCCCAGCAAAGAAACTGGCAAATCCCAAAGACCTGTGTACCATAGAATTCCCAGACAGATCAACCTGTAGGGATTAGAATCCAGTGTCAGCCATATTGAGGGTGAAATTCTGTAGATACCTATGCCTACAAAGGGACAAATACAGTTTATGTCATCTCAAACTGTGAACAGCTTACTTCTGAGGTGATTTGGATGGATTTTTGCCCTGAAATTATGAAGGAACTGAGGAAATAGGGAACAGTAATTTCACTAGTTGGGCAGATTTTTCATTTTATTATTAAGGAACCTTGGTTTTCGTTTTGTTTTAATCTTTCAGATGGTTCAGGGGTACTTTTTTTCCTAAACCTCACTGCTCTTCTCTATTGGGAAATGGTATTTACAATCCAACCTGATAGTGGTATTCTTGAATCCGCCTATGGCCGAGTAGCAACCATTGGTTTATAAGAAATCAGATATCACAAGGAGTTGATTTCACCTTTAGAAAGTTTGATTTTTGCCTAAGCCTCATCCTGCAGCACTTATGCTACTATTGATATCAGGCCAGAAGTTTGCCAGGGATTCTGTTCCAGCACCTTGGGGACCTAGTTCTAAGAAGAACCTATGGGGTTACAAGAAGAACCCAGAAGTATCTGTGTAAGTATTTCAGTTCTATTTGGGTCCAGGACTTTAAGTCGATTTGGGATAAAAATGGAAAGTAGTTAAAAAACCAATGTTCCTATTAAAGTACACAGAACTTTTCAGGCGAGAAGCCACACTGGTCAGGAAGCCCCTTTTTCTCTCAGGGAGCTCTTCACGATTGTGTCTTAGAAGGAGCCAAAAAAATTTCTGGAGCTGAAGGAAAGAAGTGAACACAGCCTAACCTTCTAGGAAACTGATAAGCGAAGTGGAATCCTGCTGATCCCTTTTTTGCTTTCATTTTATTTCTTTCCCATGTGGATAGTCCTCTCATCACCCCTCCCCCCAAAGTAAGATGAATAACTGGACAGGATATAGCTATAGGGTTTCTGAGGCTTTGGGTATGATTTTTTTAAATTATAAAATTAATGCAAAATATGTATTCTTTTAGGGGAAGATTATTATTAATACTTGCTTTTACTCAATTGTTTAACAATGTTAATGAGTGTCTCTACTCACCAGTACAGGAAGTATCAATGCCAGGTAACCACCAGAGAAAATGGCAAAGAAGATGGTATAGGTCATAAGTAGTGGAAATGTGGTGGCTAAAGGAGCAAGCAGGTTAGTGATGCCACAGAGGATGAGGTAAGACTTGTGGTAATGATACTTCTTCATCCAGTTTTGATCAGCAACCCATCCAGAGATAATCTGACTGACTGCCTCAATGATACCTGGAACAATATTGAAAAGGTCTTATGAAATCCTAATTCCATTTTCCTAACCCCTTTGAAAAATGTAAATGCATAAAGCATTTTTTCCTAAGTAATGTGACTTCATTCTGAGACTAGGACATATGAGAAAAAAAAGGTTTCATTTGTCTATCAATAGATTTTATCATTTACTTACATATTCCAAACACATCTAATAAAATACCAGAAAAGCTCCTCCCGAGTTGGGTAGAAGACCCATCAGGTGTTTCTTCTGATTGTGTTTGGAAAGCTCATCACCACCACCACAGAGGACCCTGGGCTCAGGAGGCTTCCTTGAAGAGGTCCTGCAGGTGAGGAGGTGTGATTTCTTAAAGACTAGTAGACCGTCAGGTCAGTGTCCTGGGGAAGTCATATGGTGGAAGATTGGAGCATAAATAATAAAGTCTTATGTTAAAAAAATAGCTGTTGGGACTCTTTCTTACAACTGCATATGAGATTTTAGTAATTAAGTCGTCCTCGAAAGGTTATTATGCTTAACTTGAAAAATGTATGGGAAGTCTGGAAATGGGAGGTCGTGTTTTGAACATTGGAGCTATGGTGTAACCTGAATAAAATTTAAGAACCACGTTTTTCACTCAGTTTTATGATAACGTTTGTATCCTTTATCCTATTATAAGCTAATGTAGCAGTTAAATACTGAATGAGAGATTTTCACCAAGAGTAGCATGAGCTGCAGTTGTTTTGTACTTCAAATTCTTCCTATGACTCAAACAAAAATTGCTTCACAAAAAAAAAAGGGAATGAAAAATGCATACTACCATTTCTATATCTCTTTTTATAGTTACTTCCTAGGCTACATCTTGAGACTTTATGTTATGTTCTTTGGTCCACTAGTATAGCCCTAATCTGATCTAAATTGATACTACCAGACATTTTAGTGAAAAAAAATCAGCTTAGTTCTGTTTCTTTTTCTTGTGTACACAAGCTTTATTTGACTGAAGCAGAGTATCTTTGCAACTGGAAACAGGGTGCAGTCACTTTTGTAAGGGCTTGGTAAATAGTCTTTTCAAGAAATTAGCAAGAGAAAAGTTAATGTTGAGCTACTGAGAATTTCTAGATAATTCGAGCAAACCAGTTCCATGTCATCCCTTTTTATTTTTTTAGACTCCCTATTTTGTCAGTTGAGAGAAACCATATCTTCTGGATGAAGCATTGTGTTTCCATCCATTTTTATAAATACTCAACTAAAATAGTTGTTTTTAATTTTAACTTAAATTCTAACTCAAATCAGAAATTAAGTATTTAATTTCTAATTACATATCAAATTAAATTAAATATTTAATTTCTAATTAAATATCAGTCAATCCATTAGTGACTAGCCTTAACAGGAGTATATATCTGTCTTACTGTGCATTCAAGGGGAAAAATACTTAGCTGCAAATATTAATAGAACGTTATTGAATGCTTATGGTAGGCCAGCCACTATTCTAAACTGTACATGTATTACTTGTTTAATCCTGATAACTTTATAAGGGTAGGTACTATTATCTCTATATTATAGATGAGGAAATTGAGGCACAGAGAAGGCAAGTAACTTGCCCAAGGTCACACAGCTAGAAATACAGAGCAAAAACTTCAATCTGAGAAGTCTAGCTGCACAACCAATGCTTTCAACTACTGCACTATGCTGTCTACCTAGGATTTTTTTGTGTGTGTGTGTGAGGAAGATTAGCCCTGAGCCAACATCTGTTGCCAGTCTTCCTCTTTTTGCTGAGGAAGATTGGCCCTGGGCTAACATCTGTGCCCATCTTCCTCTACTTTATATGGGACGCTGCCACAGCATGGCTTTGATAAGCAGTGCACAGGTCCACGCCCAGAATCCAAACCTGTGAACCCCAGGCTGTGAAGCAGAGCACGTGAACTTAACCACTATGCCACTGGGCCGGCCCCTACCTAGGATTTTTTTGTCTCCTGGAGTGGCTGTTGCCACTGAGCACCAGCTTTTTAAAACTGAGTATTTTCCAACAAATAATTAATGTCTGCTGTGTCAGACAGACACTGACATGTGGAAATGAATAAGACTTATTTTGAGGTTCACTGTCTGGTAGGGAGAGCCTGTGTGCAAGGTGCAGTGACAGAGATCTGTGGGGGGAAAGGCCTGGTGCTCCCACCAGCCTTGAAAAACTTACTTTTCCTGGCCATTCCACAACTCCTTTTTTAAAGAATTGTCTTTTCAGCTTTTAAATAAAATTTAATACATTTTTGTAAAATTAAGTTCTATTTTCCTTTTGAGTGTGAGGTTGAAGTAGGCTTTCTTACCAGCTATAGAAACGAGGTAGGAGGCATTCATGATGTCAATCCCCAGGGTTTTGGCTCTGGCTACCAGGTGAAAGGTAGGGATGAAATATGCCAACTGACTGAGGAGAAAAGACCAGGTAAATATGTAAAAGAAAGGATTCTTAAAAGGAGAAATATCAAAGAGGTTTTGTTTACAGCTCCACGAAATAGCCTTTTTCTTGTAACTTTCTTCCTTAGTTGTTAGGAGCAATCTGTTTCTGTTGGGCCCATTGTTACACTCTTCATTTTGACTTTGTGAGACTGTTAACCTTGTTTTGGGTTGTCCAGCCTTCTGCATAGTGCTGTCCCAGGTGGTAGACTCTTGTATCTCATGGCAGGATGATGCTTCTGTCCCACACACTGCCTCTGAAGCACTTGCAGACAAACTGCTCCCTTTATCTTTAATATCGGAATTGCTCTCACTTTTGATCTGGATGGGTCTTAAGAGCATACTAGAAGGCACCAAATTCAATGTGATAGCTCCAAATAATATAAGGGCACCTAAAGGGGAGAGAAAAATTGAGAAGTTAAAAATTTACCTCTCTCATTTCACAATACTCTGTGTTCTTAGGCTCAGAAGAGGCCCCACCACTAAATATTCAGTCATAGTGCAATAATTCCTGAAAACACTACTTATTGAAAGTATTTAAATCTGCCGACTTAATTGTTAGCCATACACACTGCTGTATGCTTGTGAAAATAGGGTGTTCTTTGGAGGTAGAAAACCAGGAAGTTGCACCAACAGATGGCATGGAGGAGAGAGGGTGTTATTTGTGCTAAAGGAAGAAAGAATAAGGTTTTGGTGGGGAGGATATTAAATGTTAGAAAATTACAGTGTGTTTTAAATAGGGATTTTAAATATCCTGAAGTGAGGGTGTAGATTTAGGTACAAAAAATACAGAATTAGATGATGGGGATCATTTGGAAACTGACTTAGAAGAGGAGACAGCCTTTCATCTCATGACATTTTTAATTTCCTTGAAAGAAGACAGATGCCAGTTTTGCCTTTGAAGCTGAGTAGTTGCTTGATTTCAGCATGGCCTGACCAAAGCTGTGATGTGTGTATGGTGCTTCTAGAGAGAATTGGCCATAAGTTCTGCTATCCTGTCTTAAGGATTTGTCAGCTGGTCCTGTTCACCATGAAACTACTGGTAGTCTTTTACTTAGGAAAGATTCAACAAAACGGCTCTGTAGGTAGAAATAGGCTTATGTGTATTCATATATATGTACACATACATATTCTTCCCAGTAATTTAAGATTATTTTAATCCAAATGTTTTATCACAGGTACAAAGAAAATTGTGGAGTGAATGGTTTTTATTTGTGAAAATCTATAGTTGACAGTGTATAAAAGATTAAGTATAGAAGAACATAATCCTCTTTTTACCCATGTTTTTCTTTGTTTTGTCTATTTTAGTGAGTCTGATTGAGGACCCATTTTTTAATGCAGATTTTTTTCTTAAAGGGACAATTTGAAAAGAATGCTTTGGTTGTGGAAGGGGAGGAGGGGAGGATCCTTGTTTCCTCAGGAGTATCGCTTTCCCTGCAAGGTGTCTCCCCAGCCTCAGAGTGCTCTCCATCCCCTCAGACAGGAACCCTGTGGTGCACTCTGAGTTGCTTGTGTGGCCTGGCAAGGCCTGCAAGTAGTTCAAGATCTCTTCTGCTATGTATTTTCCAAGGAACAAGAGCATGTTTCCTGTGGAAATCATGCTCATTTCCTCTGGCTCAAAAAGTCTTCACTTCCAGTCATCAAAGGGAGAGAGCTGAACATTCAATCTTGCAGAGTTGATAGTTCAGAAACTTAAATGACTCACCTGTCCAGTCATATAGATCTATCAGGACTTTTGTAAAAGGTGCCAACAGGAATGTCAGTCCCATCCCAGAACGGGCAATAGCTGTAGAAAGAGCTAATCGTTTTTTGAAGTATTTGGTAGTTACAACTGCAGCTACTTGGTACAGGAAAGCAGAACCCAAACCTAAAAAGAAAAACATAAATAGCTTGGAATCACATGAAGAATATCTGTCCTTTCCAGGTAGATATTCTCCTGGACCTGAGATAATATAACTAGACCTTTTGGACCCATGGACAGTAAAAGGGAAGGTTCCTAGTTCCATCTTTTATAGTCTTATTTTTACAATAGACTCACCAGGTAAAAGTCCCATAGTCACACAAAGAAAGGGAATGCCTGTGGCCTGGCTGCTGATCAGATATCCACCAGCAACAAGGAAAGCCCCAAGAATGGAGGCAGTTTTCTCTCCAATTATGTCACAAATAATGGCAACCAGGGGACCTTGGGAAAAGAAAGAAAGGCAAGTACTAGGTAAATGTGCTCTGGCATCCCTTCTGATGTGCAGTTTAAAGGAGCAGCTCAAGGAAAAAAGGTGACTCTACTTTGGAGTATTGTGTATCCTTCAAAAAGGTGTCAGTGTTGGGGTCCTTAATATTTCTGGTCCCACACAGTTGCTTTTTGGAAGAGTTGGTTTTTGTTTTTTTAAAGAAGAGACTATTGTAAATAAGCAGGTTTGGAGGGGAAGCTTATTGAAAATGGCATTACAAAACCTCCACAAAATGAGATTACATCAAGTGACCTATGACTAGAACAAGGTTCGACCAATCGTTAATCTACTCCTCCACCATCTTATAGCTCCAAATAGAACTAAAGGAAGAGGAATTAGTTCTGGAGTTTGAGTATGCTTAGATGATCAGATCAGAACTTCATGGTATGACTTTCCAGTTGAGAGGCACTGTGGAAAGAAACAAGGCATGAAAAATTGAATCATGGAATTAAATAGTTGAATTCTTCAACTTTCTTTGTTTGAACCCTAATTTTTCCAGTTTTACCAAGTGGAGGCTAAACACTACAAGTCCTTACTTTTCTCAGCTTTACATATTAGTAAATGAACCTGAGTTTTAGCAACACTTCAGTCTTGAATGACTGATAGATGAGTCTTCTTGGAATTGCCCTTTGTGCTTCTTCATGGACAGCAAGTTTATTGCTGGCTTTGTACCTGCAGAAAAACGAAGTGATGACATGATGGATCCAATCCAGCCAATTTTCTCTGAGGTGCCTTCAAATTCTTCTTGAAAAACCACAAAGAAAATTGCAAAAGTCTTGGTCATCCCCATCACAAACACATTTACCTAAATCAAAGCAGACCAGAGAGTTTAAGTCAGGTGGTGAGTGAGCCATTACAGAGGAGGGTACAGCTGCTCGAGTTTATGATTCCCTTAGCTCACCGGTATTTACCAGTATTTGGCGGTTCTTCATTATATTTATATATTATGGGGCGATCATCCCCTTAGAGCATCTAAGCACTTTACATGAAAGCATCTCATTTAATCCTCATTACAAGGCTATGGATCAATATTGTATTAAAGATCAGGAAATTGAGGTCAAAATTAGAAGTTGCTCAAGATGGGGGGTGCTGGAGCTGAGGTTTGAACTGAGATAGACTGACTCCAGACCAACTACTACTCTACTGTCCTGTTAAAATAGCATCTATTAAAGACAGCTAATTTGGGTCTGGCCTGGTGGCATAGTGGTTAA